GTGCTGAGGAATCGAACCCAGGGCCTCAGGCATGCAAGGCAAGCGCTCTACCACTGAGCCACCTTCCCAGCCCTATTAGCCCTATTTTACAGTTAGAAATATTTTACTTGTGTGCTGGGAATGTGGCTTAGTGATAGTGTGTTTGCCTAGCATGCATGAAGCCTTGGGTTTGATTCCTCAGTACCACAGAAACAGAAAAAGCTGGAAGTGGCACTGTGGCTCAAGTGCTAGCCTTGAGCAAAAGAAGCTCCGGGACAGGGCCCAGGCCCTGAGTTCAAGCCCCAGGACTGGCAAAAAATTTACTTGTGCATTTATTCTCAATATTTTACAAAAAATATTTCCAGTTAATGCTTATGATTTGGCTCTGATCTCAGTAATCTGTTTCAAAGTCATCTGATTTGTCCTCATAGGAGAGACTGTATAACTGATTATAAGTCCATATATGTTCCATGTAAATGCCTCATACACATGTTATGTGAATTTGAGTAATGATTCAGAAATGGTTCATTTTTTTGTGTTTATGTATTTATTTCCAGCCTTTATGCTCTGACTTGACTTTTTTTTGTTCAAAGTTGGTGCTCTACCACTTGAGCCACACCTTCAGCCCTAGTTTAGGTGTAAATATTTGTTCTTCTGTGACTGGCTTTATGTTTTAGCAGCAGTGTTCACAGTAGTCAAGATGTGAGAACAACTTCAATGTCCACAAATGGAAGAATGGATAAATAAAATGTGGTATAATCATATAATACATTAGTACTTGATAATTAAATATAATGAAATGCTGATTCCCCACCACAACACAACTAACTTGAAGATATAATGAGGCAGTCTGAACACTCTTGTTTTCTTTTTAAAGCATCACCTATTGGTTTTTCCTTTCTATGTCCTTTGCCGAGCATGCTGTCTTGGTCTTCCCTTTTTCCTTTTTCTTTTTTAAAATGTTTTTTTATTGTAAAATTACTGTACAGAGGGGTTACAGTTACATGAGTAAGGTAATGAGTACATTTCCTGTTGAGCATTATTAACTCCTCCTTTGTTTTTCTCCTACCATCCCTTCCCTTCCCACATCCTCAAATCCTCCCTACCCCCCCCACCCGAAGTTGTAAAGTTCATTTTCAACATAGTGTCTTGTATATCTTTTTCTTTTTTTGGTCAGTCGTGGGGCTTGAACTCTGGGCCTGGGTGCTGTCCCTCAGCTCTTCAGCTCAAGGCGAGCGCTCTACCACTTGAGCTACAGCGCCACTTGTGGTTTTCTGGTGGTTTATTGGAGATAGGAGTCTCACAGTCTCTCCTGCCCGGGCTGGCTTTGAACTGCGATCCTCAGATCTCAGCCTCCTGAGTAGCTAGGATTACAGGCGTGAGCCACCAGCGCCCGGCTGTCTTGTATATCATTGTTACAATGGGTCAACCTGTATCCCTATTTAAGCATTTTGTTATTTCTCTTCCCCTCCCCAGATTAGAAAAATGTATGTACAAGATGCAGGGCACCAGAATCAAATACAACAGGAGTTGTTATACCATGGGGGAAGAACATACAAAAAAAAAAAACAAAAAAAATCACATAGTACATTATAAATACATTAAAAAAATAGCAAGAAAGAAAAAAACCCACTTGTTTACCTATCTTGGGGTTCATTTCACATAACACAATTTTATATGGTCATATGTACATAGCTTTTGACCTTTCTGCTTGTTCTGGACATATATTAGTTATTGCAAATAAGGGAAACCATGGGACCTACCCAGTTAGAATGGCTATTATCAAGAAATCTAATAACAGATGCTGGAGGGGATGTGGCCAAAAGTGAACCCTACTGAATTGTTGGGAGTATAAACTTGTTCAACCACTTTGGAAAGCAGTATGGAGGTTCCTCAAAAGAGTCCGCATAGAGCTCCCCTATGACCCAGCAATCCCACTTTTGGGCATTTACCCAAATGATCATAAACAAGACCATACTAAAGCTACCAGCACAACTATGTTTATTGCAGCATTATTTACCATAGCTAATATATGGAACCAACCCAGATGCCCCTCAGTAGATGAATGGATCAAGAAAATGTGGTATATATACACAATGGAATTCTACGCCTCCATCAGAAAGAATGACATCGCCCCATTTGCAGGAAAATGGAAAGATCTTTTTTCTTTTTCTACACTCCTCAAGTGAGAACTTAAAAGACCTAATCAGTAACTTATCCTTTTCGTCTTTTCATCCTTCCTTAAATTCTTGGTCATTGGACTGGGCTATTAGATTTGGAGTCACCTGCATCTTTCTTTTCTTTCTCCCCCTCCCACCATCTACCAGAGTGTTCTCTGTCTTTCTGCCCTCACCCTCTTCCCTGTTTGTTCTTTCCCTTTCTTTAACAAATAACTGTACAGAATCTACTCTGCTTCCTGTGTTTAAGAGCTCTGCTTATTGAATGATGGAAGAAATACAAAGTCTTGACCCAACAAGTCATTGCTAACTATATTCTGAGTTTGTTAATCACTTTAAGCATGATGATAATAGGCTTGTAATATTGGACTAGTCTATCTCACAAACTTGACATTATCTGGGTAGAAGTATTAAAGCAAAACACAAATGCTAGTCATTTTGTTTTTGTGTAATTTTGACGCAGATTATATTCAATGATGAAAACTGTTCTTGGCTTTGCCTTCTCAGCATAGCAAACTAGACTTCTGATAGTTTGATTGTAGGCATGGGAATAACCACATGCAGATTTTGCCTACCTAAAAGATCAGCTTTTTGGCACCAAATAGAGGAGAGTAACACTATTATTGTTAACCATCGGCGGTGGCATCTATTTAAAAGAGGGGAATGTTTGGAGTAGTGTTAGTTGAAGGGTAGTGCTCCTAGAATAGCTTTCTGAAGAATAATGAAAGTTGATAGGGTTTCTAAGACAAGTACCCTTGCTCTCACAGCTCAACAGTCCTATATGGTTGATACATTCCTATTTAGGATGAAAAAACCAATATTCAAAAAACTCTTGTGACTTGTCTAAGCTTGCATAGCTAGTTACTAAACAAAAAACAAAAAGATCTAAGTCTACGTCTGATTCAGAACATTTCACTGTGTTGCTTTTACTGCTTGTAAATCCTCATTCTTAAACTTAGGTCCAAGTTGGAGATAGTGAATTACTATGGTAATTTGAATTGGAGAGACTGAATTATTTCTATTGGCCGTATGTCTGAATGCATGGCGTCACATGGATAATATTACCTAGGAAGATGATGAGAAATAAATAATATATGAAAAATAAGATGTGAAGCATAAAACCTTATGGTGCTTAGTGTTGTTAATACTATTATTCTTGTACTTAAGAAGAGCACTTAATCCTAAATAAAGTAGTTGTGCTTTCTAAGTCCTATTTTTTTTTTTCTGTACCAGGGTTGCACTTAGGGCCATATTTGTTTGGCTTGCTTGCTTAGTTGAGCCAAGCCTTCAGTTCAGTATTTTGCTTGTTAATTGGAGATGGAGTCTTGCAGTCTTCTGACCATTATGGATTTGAACTGTGATCCTCTGGATCCTCTGGATCTCAGCCTGTTGAGCCTGAGCCCCTGGTGTCGGGAGAAGAATTTCTTTGTTCTTTTAACTAATTTGCTAATGAATACATTTCATTAACAAGGACATTTACTTAAGTATAGCCAAAACTTCAAGTAGTCTTAAAAGACATTAGAATAATGGCAGTTCTCATTTTTCTACAATTATATTCACAGCAAAAATTGAAATTTTATTATGGTTTATTTCCAATAATTCATATTGAATGTTTATATTTAAACATTTGGTCAGAACATGTGTTCGCCACTGGGAAACTAGTTCCTGTGGGAAGGTAGCTGGAACTTGTGTTTAATGTGGTTTTGACTTAAAGATTGATTATGTCAATTGTTTCCGTGTGCATATTACTTTTTATACAAGGAAGAAAGCCTTTCCTTGTCCTAAAATCCCCAATACTTAGTGACCTTTAGACTCATGCAAACACGGAGCTGTTTCTTTTCTACTAGGTACTAAGAATGCAAGATCTGAGTATTTTGTGGTTATGGTAGCTCTACAGTATTGCGGAAAATTTTCCAACATGCTTTATTTTGTATGACTGATATAAAGGATTTAATAGTCTCTATTGAAATGAGAGATGTTATGCTAAGTTACGGAAGTGTCCTCAATTTACAACATATGCATTAAATGATGTAGCAGAAAAGCTCAAGTTTTAAAATAATGATAAAAGCATAATCTTTGGTAATTTTAAGGTTATGGTCTTACTAGTAAGAGTAATATATATTTTTCTTTTATGATCATCAGCATTATGATATGACTACATTTGATTCCAAGGCAGTAATATTTTCTTTTTAAACCACTTTACTGACCAAAATATCAAAATAATATATCTGGTAAATACCCATCTTTAAAACTAGCTAACATATCTTTTTAAACTACACACACACACACACACACACACACACACACACACACACACACACACACACACACAATACCCATCTTTAAAACTAGCTAACATATCTTTTTAAACTACACACACACACACACACACACACACACACACACACACGCGCACACACACACACACACACACACACACACACACACACACACACACACACACACACCATTCTCCCCTCACAGACAATGTGGCTTTGCAGTTTAGGTTTCAAAACTCTAGAAGTAAGCAACAAGTTCACCTTGAACTTCAGATTCTTTTTATTTCTAGAATGGCTCAAAGCAGTAGAGAGGATCACCAAGATTTATAAACAATTTATTTTCATTTGTTCAGTTTTGCTAATTTGTACATAAAAACATTTAAGTGCTTTTAAAAATACGTCTCAGAATCAGATTTTCAGTATTAATGCTCTATGTATTTCTAATTTTGAATAAAAAGATGATCTCTTGTTAAACTAATCTATACAGTGGTAGCCTGAATTGAACATTTTATGTAAAATACATATGAATGTACATTCTCACTGACATAGATGTGTGTCTTTGTAGGTTTGCCTGAATCCATCATTGCAGCTGCATGTTCAAGGAGTGGTCAGAGGGTTCTGCATGTTGATTCGTAAGTTTTATCAATAGTAGCATGTAATATTTCATAACTATATTCAAGATTAAAGTTGAACCAGATGAATATATGTCTGTATATATTTGTGCATATATACATATATCAAATTCTTTTTTTTTGGTGGGGGGGTCCGGTCGTGGGGCCTGAACTCTGGGCCTGGGCACTGTCCCTCAGCTCTTCAGCTCAAGGTTAGCGCACTACCACTTGAGCCACAGTGCCACTCCGGCTTTTTTCTTTTTGCTTATGTGGTGCTGAGGAATTGAATCCAGGGTCTCAGGCATGCAAGGCAAGCGCTCTACCACTGAGCCACCTTCCCAGCCCTCAAATTCTTAAAGTAGAAGAAGGTTTGGGATTGGTTAATATTCACCAATAATATGTGATATTTGTAGCATATACACTTTACTATTAAATTACTTCATTATTTCCAATATTAAGAATAAACCAAGTGCATCTTTTTGGGGGACGGGGGTCAGTTGTCAGGCTTGAACTCAAGATTTGGATTTGGGCACTGTCCCTGAGCTCTCTTTCTCAAGGTTAGTGCTCTACCACTTTGAGGCATAGCTCCACTTCAGTTTTTTTTGTGGCTCATTGGAAATATGGTGTGAGCTACTGGCACCTGGCTGCATCTTTTTTTTTTTTTTTTACTGAGTGATTTTATTTTTAAATACAAATAATCTGGATGCTTGTGGCTCAAGCTTAAAATCTTGGCTACTGAGGAGGCTGAGATTTGAAGATCACAGTTTCAAGATCACTCGGGCAGAAAAGCTCATGAGACTCTTACCTCCAGTTAACAAACAGAAAGCTGGAATAGGAGGTGTGAGTCAAGTGGTAGAACACTATCCTTGAGTGAACAAGTCGTCAGAGCACAAGGCCCTGACTTCAAGCTCTATTACTAGCAAACACACAAAAAAGATCAAGTAACTCTGTATGAGGTATGAAACCTCACGTTTACCCTTTTGCTTATATATATATATGTATATATATAATATATGTATATATGTATATCTAATGGGTATGTACAACTTTAAAATTTTATTGTATTTAGATTTATTCTTAACAAATTCAGCCATTGGATTTGAATTTGTGGTCTTCTAAATGTTCACCAAAATTTAAACTTAGAAAATAAAATTTTCTGTCTTCAACTGTTGTCCTCCAGGTCTTAGCCTCTGAATAGCTGGGCTTATTACAAGCATGAGGCACCAGGACACAGCCAAAATTTTGTTTTGATTCTGCTTGTGAGTGAGAATAATCAGGACTTTCTTTCTGTGCCTACTTTATTTCATGTAACATACTGATTTCCAATTCCATACATGCTATTGTAAATGACAGGATTTCAATTTTTTTAATAGTGAAACAGTGTTTTATTCTATGTACCACAGATTTTTTTAAAAAATCCATTTATGAGGGGCTGGGAAGGTGGCTCAGAGGTAGAGTGCTTGCTTTGCATGCATGAGGCCCTGGATTTGATTTCTCAGAACCACATAAACAGAAAAAGCTGGAAGTGACACTGTGGCTCAAGTGGTAGAGTGATATTCTTGAGCTGAAGAGCTCAGGGACAGCACCCAGGCCCAGAGTTCAGGCTCCACAACTGACCAAAAAAAAAAAATCATTTATCAGTTGATGGATACTTCAGTTTTCTTTCATTGGCAATTGGGAATAATGCAATAATGAACATGGGAGTGCAGATGTCTCTTTGACCCATGAGTTTAATTTCCTTTGGATATATACCTACTCAGTAGTGGGATTGCTGAATCATGGTATTTATATTTTTATCTTTTTGAGAAACTTTCATGCCGCTTTCCATAATGATTGAAGTAAGTTAAATTCCTATTAGTAGTGTGCAAGCATTCCCTTTCCCAACCTGGCACTGGTGGCTCATGCCTGTAATTGTAGCTACTCAGGAGGCTAAGATCTGAGAATTGAGGTTCAAAGCCAGCCCAGGCAGGAAAGTCCATGAGACGTTTATCTTCAGTAAACCACCAGAAAACTGGAAGTGGCACTGTGGCTCAAGTGGTAGAGCACTAGCCTTGAGCTGAAGAACTGAGGGGACAGCACCTAGGCCCAGAGTTCAAGCAACATGACCAACCAAAAAAAATGAATTCCCTTTCTCCATATTCTTGTTACCCTAGTCTTTAATATTTTTGATAATAGTTCTTAGTGGAGTGATATGATATCTTTTTCATTTTCATTTTTCCTGATAATAATGTTTAATATTTCTGTATACTTGTCCATTTATGGTCTCTTTCTGTTTTGTTTTGTTTTGTTTTGAGATCGTCTCACTATATAGTTCAGATTGTCTTTGAACTTGCAGTCCTCCTGTGTCAAACGTCCAGAGCTGGGATTCTAGGCATGGACTTCCATTCCTAGAATGTAATTTTTTGAGAAATTTCTTTTTAAAGAAACAACTGCCCAATAAATAAGTGGGCTAAAGACTTACAGAGAAACTTCTCTGAAGAGGAAAGAAGGATGGCCAATAGACACATGAAGAAATGCTCAACCTCCCTAGCCATAAAAGAAATGCAAATCAAAACAACACTGAGATACCACCTCACCCCAGTTAGAATGGCTATAATAAAGAACTCTAATAACAACAGATGCTGGAGGGGATGTGGACAGAATGGAACCCTACCGCATTGTTGGTGGGAGTGTAAACTTGTTCCACCACTTTGGAAAGCAGTATGGAGGTTCCTCAAAAGACTCCACATAGAACTCCCCTATGACCCAGCAATCCCACTTTTGGGCATTTACCCAAATGATCACAAACAAGACCACACTAAAGCTACCAGCACAGCTATGTTTATTGCAGCATTATTTACCATAGCTAAGATATGGAGTTCTCTCTTTTTTAATTGGGTTGTTTTTACTGTTGAGGTTTGCGAATTTCTTATACTTTCTGATATAAACCATTTGTGAGATGTATGACATGCAAATATTTTCTCTCATTCTGTAGTTTTTCTCTTTTAAAATATAAATTATTTTCTGTTAAGTAGTTGTACAATGTAGTTCAAATCTAACATGTCCATTTATGTGTACAATGTGTCTTGAGCAGTGTCTCCCTTTCCATCATTCTCTCTCCCCTCAAGTTACCTAGTTCCATTTTCATATATGCACATTGAATATTATGACTGCATTTACCTACTTCCTCTCTCCATTCATCTACCCCCTTCCCCTAAGTCTTTCCCCTACAGACAAAGCATGTTTCAGCTTCTTGTTTCATTTGGTTAAACTGTCAAGTTAATTGTTCAGAATATTTCCACCATGGGAATCCACTATTTCCTATATCACATTTTAGTCATGTCCTTTATGTCTGAACTCTGATTATATTCTTTGCTATGTAGAAGCTTTTTTAGTTTGATGTAATCCTATCTTTTTATGTTTGCTTTTGCTTCCTTCCTTTTGGGGTCTTGTCTAGAGAATCATTGCTTGTCCTAACATCTCGAAAGGTTTCTCCTAAAGTTTTCTTACTGGAGTATCATAATTTCAGTCTTTAGTCCATTTTGAGATTTTTTTTTAAATAACTGGTAAGACTTTGGATGTCTCATTCTCCTGGATCCTAAGCCAAGTTTTAAGGGCTCAAATAAGCACTATTATTTGAAAGTAGTGATTGTCTTCTCCAGCTCCAGTCATCCTACTGTCTGCCATGTTCATCTAAATTCCATAGGTACCTTACTTAAACTTAGCAAGATTAACATCTAATTAATCTTCCTCATCCTCACTGCAAACTCCTCCCTAAGAACAACAACATCCTGGTCTTTATTTGTTAGTTTGAGTTTTAGCCAGTACTGGGGCTTGAACTGGGGCCTTGCCTTCTTACTTTTTTTCGCTCAAGATTAGCATTCTAGCACGTTCAGCTTTTTGCTGGTTAATCAGAGATGAGTCTTACAGACTTTTTTTTCCCAGGCTGGCTTTGAAAGCTGGTTTTCAGATCCCAGCTTCTTGAGTAGCTAGGATGACAGATGAGAGCTATTGTCCAGCTAGTGCCCCATTCTTATTCTTTTGGAATAACAACATATCTACTTTCACACTTAAAAAATTCTATTGGTTTGTTTCTTTTCTTTATCTTTTTAATTTATGTAACCACCAGATTCTAATACCCTGATGATGATAGGTGATGATACTACTTTATGATGATGATGATGATGATTAGTGGTGGTGGTGGTGGTAGTCATAGTGATAAGGATGATGACTAATATTATTGAGGTATTTTAGATACTATGCTATGTACTTTGAAAACATAATTTTGCTGATTTGCCCTAAGTTTGATATCCCTTTTTGTCTATCTCTCTGTTACTTAATCAAATTCAGACCCTTATCAGGTGATTCTTATAGATCTCTAGCCCTTCACCACATTGTAGCCAATTTCCACATGAAATCTTTTCATATCTCTTGCTAGAATTTGAATACAGGGCGTGTGATTGCTAGGCAAGCATTCTACCAATTTTCCCAGTGGTTATTTTTTTGTTATTGGTTTATTTCACTTAGGTCAGGGCCTTCATGTTTAATTCATATTGTTACATATTGCAGAATTTTTTTCCTTTTTTTCACCTGGGTAATTCAGTTTTTGAGCTATGAAATTTACTTGTATGTAGTCTGGATAGAATAAAAAAAACAAAAACAAAAAAACAAGCAATCCTCTCTCCCAGCTTTTCTTACTGATTTATAGATTTAGCAACATCCAAGAACAAAATAGTATGTTGGGAATGAACACAATAAAGATTTTTTTTTTTTTGTCCAGTCATGGGGCCTGAACTCTGGGCCTGGGCACTGTCCCTCAGCTCTTCAGCTCAAGGCTAGCGCTCTACCACTTGAGCCACAGCGCCACTTCTGGCTTTTTTGTTTTTGCTTATGTGGTGCTGAGGAATCGAACCCAGGGCCTCAGGCATGCAAGGCAAGCGCTTTAACCACTGAGCCACCTTCCCAGCCCCAATAAAGATTTTTTTACTATCAGTGAAATATTCAATTACTTATCACCTTGCTGGATTGTTTGGGCTACTCAG